GCGGCGTTTGCCGCAGTCCCCAGTGCAGTTTCGCGCACGACAAGGAGCCCCTGCGAGCATTGCTGAGGAGGAGGGGGGATGAGAGAAAAGGAGGAGAAGGAGGAGGAGCAGGAGGAGGTGGAGGCAGACGTGGTGGAGGAGGAGGGCGAGGAGGACAAATGATGAGGAGCAGGAGGATGGAGAGCAGCAAGGACTAGAGTATGGCCAAGGCGGACCAACGATGCTGTAATACGACCTCCCGTCCCAAGTCCCCTGCCCTACAGTTATGAATTTTCACTGCGGGAAACGCCTCCCTTGGAAGACGAGCGCCACACGGGCACACAACTCCGGCGGGCTCTCCGTTTTGAAAGAACTAGTTTTCCATGTTTCGACATGTAAGGTTTGCGAGGAAGAGGTTGGGTCATGCAGCTCAGGGGATTACCAAGCGACAGCCTTGCTTCGAACAGGTGCCGCCCACCAACCGTTGCGCGATTTTTTGGTACGTCGTCATACTTACGCAGGCCGAGCGATTTTTCTCTTGAGGCCCAGATGCCGAATTCGAGCCGTCGGGTTGGCGGGGTCGCTGCGGCCTTCGATAATTCATGTGTTATGGGAAAGGCTGCGGGAGTGGGTCGAGCCCGCTGCGGCGGTCGAGCTACCAGCTGTTATGGGAGGGGTTGCGGAGGTGGGCGGTCCATCTTTGTGATGCTCGACCTGACGACCATGACGCTATGTGTGTCTTCCTGCTCCCTGTTTCTTCGGTCTCAATATGGTGTTCCCCCTCCTCTTCCGCGACCTACTCCTCTCTGCCTCCTCCCCTTCTTTGGCATGCGCGATGCTGCGAACCCGCCCTGCTGCAGGGGATGTGTGGCAAATGGCCGCGAAGGTCCCCTGCTCCTTCGCCTCCTCGTCCCGCCCTGCCCCTCCTCCCCCGTTCCTTACCCTTCCCTCGCCGTCCTCGCCGCCCTCGCCATCCTCGTCGTGAGGGGGCACGAGCGCGGACGGACCGGCACGTCGTTTTGCTGGCCCACGGGCCAGCACGCCGGTCTCGACGGGCAAGCTGCAGCCGAGGGTGGGAGGTCAGAGAGCCCCACGTCCGCCGCCCTCGCCCGCCCCCGTCCCCCCTCGGCGATTCCTCCTCCTCCTCCTCCTCCTCCTCCTGTAGCAGCGTTGTGAAACAGAGCCCGTGGAGTGTAACAGAGCGTGCAATGCTAATATTTTCCGCCTGGCCGCACTTCGGCTCAAGCGGTTTTTCTCGAGGCGGCGTGTGGGAGATTTCGGCCTGGCCACCTTCTCCAAAGCCTCCACACTCGAGGCCACCAGCAGTGGATTGCAGGTCCCTCCTTGTGCCCTGGCGCTGTCGACCTGCGCCAGCGCCGGCCTCTCCGAGTCTGGCTGCTGGGGGCGCCGGTGCCGCTGCGCGTGGCGGTCGTCGCCGGGGGCCTGGGCATCCTGCTCGGCGACCTCGCGGTGCTGCTGGTGCGGGCGTTCGACTGCGCGTGACTGGTGTCGGTGCGGATCTGCTCGTGAGACAAGCGGGGAGGCAGAGGAAACGTGGCCTGAGAGGCTGATCCTCGCCTCCCTGGGCGGGGTGAAGTATCTGGTGTTGTCCCCCAACGAGGGCATGAGTGAGGAAGAGATCGACATGCGCAGCGTGTTGGACTTCGGACAGGCGGGCACGCGGGGCGGCCTGCCGACCGGCCTTAGGGCAGCGAAGGGCCAGCCGGACTACCGCTTCAAGGAGCGGCCGCGCGGCGCGGCGCTGCAGTCGTGGATCATGGTCAGGCTGGCGCCGGGCGAGACCGCGGACGAGGCCGTGCGGGCCTTCGTGGCGACCGTGGCGCTGGATGCTGTCAGGGGGATGCCGACGCCGCCGCCCGCGGAGGACGCCCGCACGCTCGAGATCAAGCGGGGCGCGGCCTGCCGCTGCTTCGGGGACCTGAAGAGTGTGGTGGACTCATCGAGGCTGTGCGAGTTCGAGGACCGGGTGCTGTCTGGGCCCCGGACCACTTTGTACGTGGAGAAGGAGATTGCCAAGCAGAGCGGGGGCCCGGTCCATCGCCACGCTGCTTGGAAGCACGAGAACAAGCTCGACGATGGTGAGCAGGGCGTGGTGGCCCACGAGATGCTGTCACAGAGTTTGGAGCTGGCTTGCACGTGCGGCCAGGTCGACGCTACCAACCTGGCGAGCTGGGAGGAGCTCGCGAGGCATTTGCAGGTCTTGGGGCACAAGACCAAGAAGAAGAAGGATACGATCAAGGAGTTCGATGGTCAGGACTACTGCTTGGGCCGCGCCAGGAGGACGAGGGGGGCCATCATCGGTCTGGAGCTGCTGAAGTGGGTCGCGGAGTCCGCGGCCCGGGACTCGGCCAATCTGAAGGAGGAGCGCAAGGCTGCGGAGGAGCGTGCGTTGGCGCGCGCTCCTCCGAAGAAGTTATGATGGGCTTCGAGGTTGGGAGTTGGCCGAACCCAGCCAGTGCCAACAGGCCGCTGTAGCGCATGGTGCCGAGGGATTTGTTGCCCTTGCCCTCGGTGCCCGTGCCGCCGGCTCGGGGCGTGCGGTCGCTGCCGCGCCGCGCCGCCCAGAGGATCGGCCGCAGGTCTGCTGTGGGCCGCCGCGTGAACGACTGCATCGCCGCCCTGAACAATCTGTACGGGGAGGGCGACTTTTGCTCGAAGGCCCGTCCTTCGGAGGCACAATTTTCTGCTGTGGACATGCTCTGGCAGGCTGTGTCGGACGACAAGCCGCCGGACAACGCCCCCAGCCCCGAGGCAGCCCTCGTGGAGTTGCTCGGCACGGGTAGTCTGGGCTACGGCTCTGACGGCCCCACTGTGGTTGCGCCGTATGATCGCGGCCTGGTTTCGTGGCCTGAGTCGGCGGGCTGTGTCAGCTTGCTGGAGGTGCTGCCGGAGCCAGACCGCCAGGAGGTGATCGACGGTAAGAATTCGATGATGCTTCGCGCTGAAGAGGTTCGCCCAGGCGCCACCAAGGTGTACTGGGATAAGACCTTGCAATCCAACGCAGACGAGTACCTGCGGTTTGTGCAGGACCTGCTGGACCGCGGCATGGTGGAGCTGCGGACTCGTCGCGAATTTGAAGTGGGAGTGTTTTTCGTGAGGAAGAAGTCGGGCCGCCTGAGGCTCATAGTGGACGCTCGAGCTGTCAACCAGGCGCTGAAGCGGCCGCCGACGATCCACATGGCGTCCACCGCGGCGCTGGTGAACATGGAGGTCGAGGGCGGCGCCCAGCTGGAGTTCTCGATCCAGGACATCGCAGACTGCTTCTACCAGTTTCGCGTGCCGGACTACATGGTGCCGTGGTTTGGCATGCGCCCTTCCAGCGCAAGGCAGCTGGGCGTGAAGGTGGTCGACGGCCTCGCAGTCTCAGAGGGGGCGTGGGTCTACCCATGCCTGCGGGTGCTGCCCATGGGCTTCGCGTGGGCCATGCGCTGGACGCAGCAGGCGCACCGCGAGCTGCTGCGGCGAGGGGGCCTCGGTGGCATCGAGAGCGAGCTGGTGGACAGGCAGATCGCTCCAAGCGTGGACTCGCCTCAGGTGCCGAGGGTCGTCTACGTGGACAACGAGAACTTCGTCTCGTCGCGACCGGGTGCCACCCGGTGTGCGAGAAGGCAGGCGGCCATGGTGATGGCCGAGGCTGGGCTGCCGCTGCACGAGGTCGAGGAGAGCAAGACGGTCGTGGAGGCGCTGGGCCTGGAGCTGGACGGTATCAAGCTGCGGGCCCGGCTGGCACGGGCCAAGCGCTGGAGGCTCGGCCTGGGCACCCAGGCCCTTCTGCGGCGCCGGCGCGTGGCGGGCAGGGAGGTCGAGCAGATGATCGGCCATTTCACGCATGCCATGCTGCTGAATCGCCCCGCGTTGTGCGTCTTCCGCTCGGCCTACGACTTTGCCCGCAAGCACTGCAGGGCGCCTGTGCCGCTCTGGCCGTCGGTGCGGCAAGAACTGGCTAACGCGCTGCACCTCATGCCGTTGCTGGCCGTCCAGTTCGATCTGCCGTGGTCCGGGCGCGTCACCTGCTCCGATGCCACGCTGCGCGGCTACGCGGCGCAGGAGGCTGACATGGAACCGTCGGCCGTGCGGGAGGTCGGGCGCTGGAGTGAGCGCTGGCGCTTTCGCATCCAGTCGACCTTGCGCCCGCGCGAGGCAGCGCTGCTCGAGCGCGAGGGTGAGAGTCAGCACGGGCGACCTCTACCTCCTCCTCCGCCGGGGCTCCCGAGTGTCGACCCCATGGGCCCCCGAGGTTTACATCGTGTACACCCAGCCATGCCTCTACGGGTTCTTGAAGGCCTTAGTGGAGCCCCTCGTCGTCAAGCGCTTCGGGATCTACCTCTGGCTGGTGCTCTTGGGGCCGCTGGGGCCGCTGCGGAAGGCTGCTGGGGCGAGGAGTCAGGTTATCCTGCGGGTTTCTTAGGAGACCTCATTGACGGGGACGTGGACATCAGCATCAATCAGGAGTTCCCAGAGATCCCCGAGGGGTTCATCAGCGAGGGCTCGTGGAGGACCATCCAGGCAAGGAGATATCATAGGAGAGAGGCCATCCATCTTAAGGAGCTCAGGGCCGTGCTGTTCGGGTGGAGGCGTAAGTGTCGTCAAGCTAGATATCATCGTCATCGCCATTTGTTTCTGTGCGACAACATGGGTATGGTCCTGGGCCTCGAGAGGGGCCGAGCGGTGTCACCTCCGGTGCTGTTTCAACTCAGAAAGTGGGCCGCTTTGTCACTGGCCTCCTTCTCTCGTGCCAGCGTGCGCTGGGTGGCCAGCGAGCTCAACCCAGCTGATGAGCCTAGCCGATGGTTCGACTCGCCCGCTGAGAAGGCGGCTGCGGCGGCGCTGGATGCCTGGCGACGGCGGCCCGCTGGAGAGGCAGCCGAGGCCTGCTCGAGCGCTTCCCGAGAGGGATGGCGCGCGCGGGCCTGGCGGCCCCCTGCGCGAGAGGGTACTGCGGAGGAGCGGCGCCTTGCCAGAGAGCCAAGGGCTCCCGCTCCGCCGCCGGCTTGCCCCAGCCCCTGTGGTCAGAGCGGCGGCGGGCCCGGCATCCTCGACCGAGCGACGGCTGCCTTCATCGACGAGGTCTCGCCGATCCCGCGCGCCCCGCCGCGACCGCCCTCCCCCGCCGGCGTTCGCGCGAGCGATCGCGGCGGCGAGGGTGCATGCGGTCGGGACTGGTGGGCTCGCGACGCTGGAGCAGGAGGGCATCACCCAAGCGACGAGGCAGGACTACGAGAGAAGGCTGGATCGGTTCGACGTCTTCTGCAGGACCCACGGGCTCACCACGGCGAGCGACGTCGAGTTGAAGAAGGCCGTGGGGGAGTGCATGGAGCTGCCTTTCAACCAGGGAGAGCCGTCGAGCAGCGGGGCCAAGCTGCGGGCCGCGATAAGGCATCGCGGCCCAGGGCTGCACCATGCGGGCAGGCAGCTGAAGCTGCCCCGCATGGCGAGGGCGCTGCAGGGCTGGCGGGGGCTGGTGCGGCCGCTGGCGTGGGCGCCGGCGCCTTGGGCGGCGCTAGCGGCCCTCGCGGTGGCCCTGATCGACCTCGGCCAGCGGCGAGCGGCCCTCGGCGTGACGCTCGCGGCGGACGCCTACCTGCGCCCGAGGGAGCTGCTGACCCTCCGGGCGGACCACAGGGTGCTGGCGCAGCCGCGTGCTGGGGGCGACTACCGCTTCACGTCCCTGGAGCTGAGGCCCAAAAAGGAGCTGCAGTCAGCCACGACCAAGGGCTTCAGCGACTCGATCCTGCTCAACAGCCCCGCAAAATCTTCTGTCGGGCCCCGGCTGGAGCAGATCGTTTCCCAGTCGCAGCCGGTGGATCTCCTCTCTCCATGGTCGGGCGCGGACTTCAATGCCATGTTCAAGGTAGCAGCCGCGCTCTTCGGTCTCAAGAGCTGGGAGTTGACGCGCCGCCGGGCCTCGCTCCACCGCGGCCGACAATTGCTGCTGGCCGAGGCCGACCAGCTGCTCGTGGGCGCCCTGGGCGACGGGCGCACCAACGGCTTCGCGCGGCGGCTCCAAGACGTGAGCCTCGTGTGACTCCGTCTCAGCCTAGTGCGCAGGCCAGGCCGCTTGTTTTGGAGCTTTTTTCAGGAAAGGGAGGGCTCGCGGCTTCGCTGCAGCGGCGGGGCTGGAGAGCACGCACATGGGACATCAGAGATAGTGCCTCGCAGGACTTGAGCAAAGAAAGGTCCATTCGTGCAGTGCTACAGCTTGTGCCGCAGGCCAAATGGGTCCATTTAGGCGCGCCGTGCGCAAGTTTTTCAGGAGCGCGCCGGGGCAAACCAGGCTCTCCAGGGGGCCCGCTGCGCTCTTGTCAATTTCCCTGCGGTCTCCCAAGCCTTTCAGGAGCTGACGCCCAAAAGGTCAAAATAGGCAATCAGCTGCTACGAACCTCAATTCGTATCATCAGAGCTTGCGTCCGTCATCGAGTGCCAGTGTCCTTGGAGAATCCACGTAGGTCCTGGCTGTGGAGGCAGCCAGGACTAGCACGCCTGTTGTGCCATGCGTCCCTCACGCACACAGTCTATTGTAAATGTGGAATGCCGTGGCGGAAGGAAACTACCCTAGCATGCTGGGACAACAAAAAAGGATTGTTGTCGCCGCTCGCCGCTCAGTGTGCCAATATCGTGTGTGTGTTTTCCAAGAAACCACATCAAATCCTTGAGGGCAGAGCTCCCGGAGGCCGTCTGTGGACACAAGTCGCCGAGCCCTATCCGCCCCGCCTGCTGCAGCAATGGTCACAACTAATTCACGAATCGCATTTGGAGAAGGTGCCGCCTCAACCGCCAGATCGCATATAGTGGCGGTTGTTGGCAAGATTTGAGCTAGCTCGAAGATGCTGGCTCGCGTTCGGTCGCATTCGAGTTGCATGCTGCCCTGCGAGAATCATCTGTTCTGGCCCCAGGAAAAGATGGGCATGTAGCAGCGTTGTGAAACAGAGCCCGTGGAGTGTAACAGAGCGTGCAATGCTAATATTTTCCGCCTGGCCGCACTTCGGCTCAAGCGGTTTTTCTCGAGCCCTAAGCCAACCCACTGCGTGCCTCTTCAGTCTAGATGTATATCTGATGCGTAAGCTGCGGCAAGATTTGAGCTAGCTCGAAGATGCTGGCTCGCGTTCGGTCGCATTCGAGTTGCATGCTGCCCTGCGAGAATCATCTGTTCTGGCCCCAGGAAAAGATGGGCATCCTCCTCCTCCTCCCCCTCCTCTTCCTCCTCCTCCTCCTCCTCCTCCTCCTCCTCCTCCTCCTCCTCCTCCTCCCCCTCCTCCTCCTCCTCCTCCTCCTCCCCCTCCTCCTCCTCCTCCTGCCCTCGCGGCTGCCGCCGAGACCGCGAGAGGGGCCGCGCCGCAGGAGCAGCTGCGCACCACCTGCGGCTTCTTCAAGACCAGGAGCCCGCCCGGGGGGGGGGGGTGCCGGCGAGGGAGCGGCCCCCGAAGGGCGGCCGCCGCCCCCAGCGGAGGCCGCCCGGGCGAGCGCGCGGCCTGCGCCCAGAGGTCTGGGCATCCAATGACGGGGTCCGAGCGGGGCGGGTCCGGGGTATTCGCGGGCCGAGCGAAAGGGGGGGATGGGGAAAGGGGGGTTACGAAGTCTGCTGCATGCAGCTGGTTTCGGCCCTGCCGCCGCGCTCATTTCTCGATACATGGGCGCCTCCCGGCGCCGGGAGGCGCCAGGAAAATTAGCTACGTGAGCTGACTCTCAAACCCCCCCTTTGCTATCCCCCCCTTTTGCCCGGCCCGATATTCATGGCCGAGGTCGGTTCGGGGAGGGTACCCTGGTGTTGGTCGTGTTTGTTGGATGCTGTCGTGCGTTCTGGGGGAGGGCGCCCTGGATTGGTCTTCAGTCTGGACGGCGGAGGGCCTCGTGTTGTTGGAATGGGGTCGAGCCGCAGACGGGGTCGGAGGATCGAGCCGCATCGTCGATGCATTGGCGATGCGGCGCGATGTAGAATCAAGTGTTCTCCACCGATGCATCGGCGGTGCATCGGCGATGCCGTGCGATCCTCCGACCCCATCTCCCTTCGGGCATCATGCAGTAGTACAATTAGAACGATATCGAGAAGATTCGCATGGCCCCTGCGCAAGGGTGACACGCGCACGCCGTCATCGAGAATAAAAGAACCCCTAAACCTAATAACATATTAATGGACACGTGGCCTCACTGAGGTCCCCGTCTTGGCATTAAGGATAATAATTTTGGGCGGCTTGGTCTGATACATCTGCAGAGAAGGACCCCCTATCCCTCATGTTTTTGGCCCTCCTAACTTAGGTCCCCTCCCAAAGGGTCAGGGGTCCTTTTTTGGTTCATCACGCCGAGAAGTGCACACCGTCTGCTCGGGCCCCACTCGGGAGGCCTCCCGAGTGGCGGGCTGCGCGCAGGAGGCCCGGCGGTGCCAGGCCTGCGGTCCGCGCACAGTCGCGCCCCGCCACCGGCAGGGGCTCTCGCCAGTGGCCGGTGCAGCGCCGCGGAGGATCGGCGGTCCGCGGAAGGGGTGCGGGCCTGCTCCTCCTCCTCCTCTTTTTTCTCCTCCCCTTCATCCCCCTCCTCCTCCTCCACCTCCTCCTCCTCGCCCTCCAGGCCGATGTTCCTGTCGCTACTGCGTCGTCAAAAAGGTGCTCAGGCCATGGTCCACGGCACGAGTTTGCCTGTTGCTTGTGCGGTGTGCCCGGTTTTTGCCCAGTGACATTTTGAATCGCGCTGCTATGGTGGCACCTGTGGGTTGTGTGCGATGTCGCAAAAGAGGGTGCGGGGCCCAGGGCACGTGTGGCTTTGGGATTTTCTGGATGCTTTCAGAGGCCCCGCCTGCTGTAAACGTTCGTGAAACGACGGTATCTCCTGTGGCTGCACACTGCATGATGGACAAGAGTCTGCACGGACACAATCGCCCTCACGGCACTGTCTGTGGCTGGAACGAGGGTGTGTGGAGGATTGCGAGTGGGAAGCGACCGCTGCTCATTTTTGTTCAAAGTTTCCCTATCTCATGTGACCCGCACGTGCCCTGTCCATTCTGGAATTCTCTGGAGAAGCTTTCAGAGGCTCCGCGTGTGGTAAGCGTTCGTGAGATGGCGGTATCTCGTTTGGCCGCACACTGCATGCTATAGAGGAGTTTGTAGGAGAACAGCAGCCCTCATGATCATGATCATGATAACGACGGTGATGATGATAATGATGCTGACGGTGGTGGTGGTGGTGGTGATGATATTGATGATGGTGACGGTGATGATGATGATGATGGTGGTGATGGTGACGATTATGGTGATGATTATGATGACCATGATGATGATGATGATGATGATGATGATGATGATGATGATAACCATGATGATGATGATGATGATGACGATGATGATGCTGCTGCTGATGATGATGATGACTCGGGTGATCCTTACGATGGCGATGATGGTGGTTGTGATGCCGAGGGTGTTGGTGTTGCTCATGATGATGTCAACGACGCTGCTGTGGATGATGATGGTGATGCGGCTGATGATGCTGCTGATGATGATCTTGCTGGTGGTGGTGATGATGATGATGATGGCGACGAGGACGGTGATGATGATAATGATGATGGTGATGCTGATGATGCTGCTGCTGATAATGATGGGCACGGCGATGAAGAGTAACAGTATGATGATGATGATGATGATGATGATGATGATGATGATGATGATGATGATGCTGATGCTGATGATGATGATGATAATGCTGATGATGCTGCTGACGATGATGATGAGGCTGATGCTGGTACCTGCTGCTGCTGATGATGATGATGATGATGATGATGATGAGGTTGCGGGTGATGATGCTGCTGATGCTGATGCTGCTGATGATGAGTGTTATGATGATGATGTTGATGCTGCTGATGATTGTGATGATGGTGGTGCTGAGGAACAGTCGGATGTGCAGGTTTTGGTCGATGATGTCTATGGTGGTATAGCGATGGTGTTAACCACGATGGTGATGATGACGAGGAACAGAAGGAGGAGGGGGTCATGCTTGGGCCTCCCGGTTGGGAAGGATGTGCAATTATGCCCGCAGCGGGAAGTGCCGCTCGGGCGACGCCTGCCGCTTCGCCCACGTGCCCGAGGAGCCTCGCGCGCGCGTGCGCGCGGAGGTCGCGCGCCCCAACCCCTCTGCTTCTGTTGCTGCCATTTGTCCTTGTTCAGAGGAGGGGAATATGCCGATACCGCTACCCGTCCCTCGCCGTCACGGCTGGGTTCGTGTAGCGTGTCTTGGAGCCGTTCCGGGCTGTTGTTATGGTTCGTGGGAAGCCCGAAGCGGCGAGAACAGCAATATTGAACATTTTTTTCGTATTGTTTCTTGCTTCTTGGGGCTCTCCAGGAGAGCCTGTCGGATCCCTCTTCGTAATTACTGGGGGCCTCTTTGGCCGCCTGGAGGCCATGTTGGGCGGTGCTCTTAAGACTACTTGTTTGGGCCGTCTTGCGCCGTACTGGGGTCATCCTGGGCCGTTTTAAAGCCATCTTGGGGCAGCTTGCGGCCATCGTAGGCCCGCGTGGACGCCCTTCCAAGAGATAATTTGGAGCCCTTCCAAATAGCAGTGGGAACGGGTCGGCCAAGGCCATTCCCCTCAACCGTGCAATCTTGGACCCAGTGGGGGAAGGGGATTATATGATGGAGGTCTCTCACACGCCTGGACACCCCCAAAGGGGTCGGTGGGTTTGCGCGAGGTGGGCTGAGTTGCATTGCGCTGCACTGACAACTGCATCCTCAACGCCGTTAGATGGCAGTTCTATCCTGGGGGTTGAGGTTACTTAGCCAGGTGATGTAGATATGTTGCTGGTCATTTACGCCAGGAGATGAGGGCATCTAGTTCGCGGCTGAAGGCCGCCGGGGCGAAGTTGTTTTATGGCCGTGCTACGGCAGGGGCGGCGATGGTTGCTGGCAGTTTGGGGCCGCCCGGGACATGTTGCCGGCAGTTGTAGGCCAGGAGTGAGAATTGCCAGCTGTATGCGGCAAGTCCCGCCACCGTGCCAGTCTAGCATTCTCGGTAGCGGCGGTTCCAGAGGGCACGGGAGGCCGTGGGGTGTAACACTTCGTGTCCTCAGGCCTGGTAGAGCCGTGATGGGGGCGCTGCTGCTGCTGCTGCTGCTGATACTCATGATGATGCTGATGACGATGTCGTTGATGACGACGGTGATGATGTTGTTGATGATGACGGTGATGATGATGATGATGATGATGATGATGATGATGATGATGATGATGATGATGATGATACCTGCTGATGATGATGATACTGATGGTAATGATGCTGATGCTGATGCTGATGCTGATGCTGATCATTCTGATGATGCTGATGATGACGAGGATGAGGATAACTATGCTGATGATGGTGATGGTGACGACGAGGATGAGGATTAACATGGTGATGGTAATGATAATGCTGATGCTGACGATGATGACGATGCTGATGATGATGCTGATGATGCTGATGAGGATGATGGCGGTGTTGATGATACTGATAATGCTGATTCTGATGCTGATGCTGTTGATGATGATGATGATGAAGAAGACGGTGATGTTGATGATGATTCTGCTGATGATGATACGGGTGCTGCTGATGACGATGATGCCGATGATGATGACGATGCTGGCACGGCTGTAGATGCTGATCATGCTGACGATGTTGGTGATGATGCTGCTGATGATGCTGATGATGCTGACGATGATGGTTATGATGATGCTGATGCTGTTGTTGCTGCTGATGCTGATGATGGTGATGATTCTGATGCTGATAAGTGTGATGATGGCGATGCTGCTGTTGTCGCTGATGATGATGACGACGGCGACGCCGATGCTGGTGCTGCTGATGATGCGGCTGGTGATGATGATGATGATGATGATGATGATGATGATGATGCTGATGTTGTTGTTGTTGCCGGCGGCGATGAGGACGATGCTGCTGCGGTTGTTGACGATGACGATGATGATGACGACGACGACGATATTGAGTATGCTGATGCTCACGATGATGCTGATGCTGCTCATGCTGCTGCTACTTATGATGCTGATGATGATATGATGATGATGATCATGATGATGATACTGATGCTGCTGCTGCTGATGATGATGATGATGATGATGAGGATGCGGATGTTCATGATGCTGCTGCTGATGATGATGATGCTGCTGATGATGATGATGCTCATGATGATGATGATGATGATGATGATGATGATGATGATGATGGTGATGATGCGGCTGCTGATGATGATGGTGATGATGATGGTGATGATAGTGATAATGCTGCTGCTGATGCTGATTCTGCTGCTGATGCAGCCGCTGCTGATGATTCTGATAATGATGCTGCTGCTGATGATGATGGTGGTTGTGATGATGCTGATGATGATGAGGAGGAGGAGGAGGAGGAGGAGGATGCTGCTGATGACGATGATGATGCTGCTGATGATGATGATGATGATGATGATGATGAGGAGGAGGAGCAAGATGAGCAGGATGAGGAGTAGGAGGAGTAGGAGGAGGAGGAGGAGGCGGAGGAGGAGGAGGATGAATAATTCGCAGGCATGTCGTCACACGCGACACCTTTTGTCTGCACTTGTTAATGGGCTCTCGTGAAGCTCCTTTTGACAGTCTTTAGGGCTGTCTTTGGGGACAGTGTTGGGGGTCCCTTGGGGCCATCCTGGGCCCTCTTTGGCCGTCTTGGGGCCCTCTTAGCCTGCCTCGGCGCCGTCGTGTGATCGTGTTGGCGCCGTCTTGGGCAGTCTAAGGCCTAATGGCCTTTAAGACCATCTTGGGTCCCTCTGGAGGCCCTCCTGGGCCTTGTTGGGGCCGTCTTTGACGCCTCTTGGGCCATCGTGGGGTCTTCTTGGGCCATCTTGGGGTCGTCTTGGGGTTTCTCGGGCTGCCTTGGGGCCATCTTGAAGGCTTCTTGGGACGTCTTGAGCTGACGGAAGCCCGAAACGGAGACACCGTGGCAATCAAGCGCATACAAACGAAACATTGATCTACGTTTCTTCGGACCTGGTTTGGGGTCATGTTGTGGCCTTGTTGGGCCCTGTTGGAGGCATCTTGTGCCGCCTTGGGCCATCTTGTGCCGCCTTGGAGACATCTTGGGCCGTCTTCGAGGCATCTTTGGCCATCTTGGCGGTCTTGGTTGTCTGCTTGGGTCGTTTTCGAAGCTCACGAGAGGGGTGGGGGGTCCCTTAAGAAGATCAGGGAGTCAGGACATTCCGCTGGCAATTCTAAGTGATTGGGGTGGGGATTTGCCGTTGGAAGCCAGGGGGTAATGATGTTTTGCTGCAAGTTTTCGGCCGCTGGGGTGAGGTTTTTTGTTGCCGTTCGAAGCAATGATGCTGAAACCGCTGGGGTGAGAGTAGTGGGGCGAATATATTTTGCTGGCAGTTCGAGATGATCGCAGGGGGCGTGGGGGTAGAGGGTAATATTTGTGGGCAGTTCCAAACAAGGGTTGATTTCGCTTGTCATTTTCTGCCACGGGTTGAGGATCATGTGCTGGACTTGTATAATGCCCTGGTGGTCGTATTGCGTTGGCAGTGTTCAGCTGATGGGGTGCGGATATATTACTGGCTGCTTAGACCAGGGGAGACGGAGGGTTAGGAGAAAGGGTGGAACACGAGGAGGATCGGGAGGAGGAGGACGAGGCGGAGGAGGAGGAGAAGGAGGAGGAGGACCAGTGTAAGCCCAAGACGCATCAACGATGTTTTAATAAACCCTCCCTCCAGGCTCCATCTTCATAGGTGTGAATAAAACCCGTGTAATACCCTCATATATACTCCTTATCCTTACCTCTCCTGCGCCTGGCCGTTTGGGCTCAGGTATTGGGACAGATCGGTCAGACCTTTGATCGTGCAGGAGGGAAAGACATCCATCTATCCCTCCTTCCCTCTACCAACGGATCAGGGGTTCTGTACCCTTGTACTTCAACCCCACTCACAGGTTATCAGCCCTTTAAAGCTCACCTTCACCGAACCGCACGTTGTGATCTCGCACGCGGTCTCGATGGAGCCCCTGCGGCGCATGCGCCGCAAGGGATCCATCGAGGCCTCGCGTCCGAGCTCTCCAACGGCGCGACGGCTCGGTGACGAGTTGGAGAGCCTTAGTGCGGACTGTGTTGGTGTTCCAGATACCCCCCCCCAGCTCCGACGGACCCGAGGCGCGGCTAGCTGCTGAGCTTCACCGCAACGCCGCCCGCGGGGGGACAGGAGAAGGAGTAGGAATAGGAAGGAAGGAGTTTCACACGCCTACCTTCGATCCTCCATCCCCTTCCCCGTCGGGAGCAATCCCAACCGCGTCGGGCGAAAGCCTCACCGGTCATGACACTCCAGGGCGCTTTCGCGCTAACCGCCGATGGACCTCAGGTGCCGGTACCCCCAGCCCTGCGACCGTCCCCGCGGCGGAGCACGTAGCCACCTTTGAGGAACTCAGTAGACCAGTGGCGGCACAGCCGCAGACGCAGTACCCCAAGGTATCATCGGATGAGACACCGCACACATGGTCCGAGTCGCAGCTCGTCCGCGCGCAACCGCCGTGGAGCCCCGGGCCCATACGGCGAGAGTAGGTCGATCCCGCGTGCTGCCTCTCAGAGGCCATGCGCTCCCCGCGACAGGGGACACAGGGAAGCTGACGCCCCCCACCTCTCCGTCTCAGACGACCAGCTGGCGGAAACGTCCGCCGCTGGTGAAATAGCTGAGCTCAGAAACCAGGTTGAAACCTTCGTGTCCAGGCAATACTCTGGACAACTGCAGAGCGTTCAGACGAACGCTGCCGATGCTGCAGCCATACGCCACGATCTGGACGGCGCCGTAGGGATGATTGATTCCAGGATCGCCGAATATCGACGTATCATAGGTGAACTGCAGTACCAGGTTGATCGTGAGGTGTCACACTCAGGTGAACGAACGGCGATGGTCGAGAACCTGCGCAACTACCTCGCGCAGATGGAGCAACAGCTTGTGCTCGTACGCGACACAGGCGTTTCAGCAGTCAGGATTTTACATGATGGAATCCACGACCAGCTCCGCAACCGACCAACAACAGCCGAGGCCACCGACCTTGGCGACGTTCAGTCTCAGACCAATGATCTTCGGTCTTATCTAGACCACACTACGGCGACGC